CTCATTTTGTGATATCTCTCACTATCAATTAGTTCAATTAGTTAAGGGTATTGTTAACCTAGATAATAACTGAAGTATAGTGTGCAAAGTAAACAATATATATATATATATATTACAATACTAAATTACGAAAGAATATTTTTAATTGCATATGAAGTTTTTTTTTTTCTAGAGATACACGCACTCTATTCACTAATTACTTTGATAATACATGAATCTCTTTAATCTTTCAAAACAAAATACTGAATGTTGATGACAAATTGTGAGGGTGTGTATATAGAATTGAGAAAAAGTTTTTTAATCTCGGTTCAATTAAGGAAGAAAATATATTTTATGAAAAACTAAAACTTAATTAAATTCAATAGATGATGTTTATTAAATGTATATATCTAGTTTAATAAATAGATTGCAATAAGATGAGCAGCTATACCATTCAGGATTATCTTTCGTACAGAAGATGGTGCACGTGTCATTGAAGTATGTTGTTCATGATTATATTCACTGGATATTGAAACAATAATTTCATAATTATCATTGCAAAATAAAACTTTTATTTGATAATCAGATAAAGAATATTTTCTGTATGATGAACAATCAATAAATGATCTTTCTACCACCAGTAATTAATTCTATATGTTTAACTGATACATTGTGTGTGATAAGATACTATTTAAGATCATCTTCTAGTAAGAATTTGTGAACAAACCACCTCCAAACTTGTCTTGATATAATACAACTTTTTAAAGTTGAATGCAATTGAACTATTCGAAAATTTTAACGCTTAAATACTTTTATTTGTAGATAAAATAAAAAATACATCTTATGAGTGTATTCCAATAGACTTATGAAAATAAAACAACAAAATTACTACAGAATATCAGATGTTTACGTGACACAAGTGTCATCTATTGAATTTAATCAAGTTTTATAGTTTTTCATAAAATATATATTCTTTCTTAAGATTCCCTCCCCCCCCCCTCCTCAGAAATAATTTCCCATTTAGAATGGTCCTTTTGGGCTGAAATTTTCAGAGATAACTTATCCCGGTGAGAAACGTTTCTGGTAAAAATTTCAGCTCGATTGGTCGTACTAGACCAGATTTCCAGCTGATTTATAGGTCATTTTTGGCCTTCGAGAGAATCGATATAAGTTCGTCGTCAGATGAGGTAGAGAGCTAGGGCTGGTTTCAAATTAAACCTAATGTCAGTACGCAACTTTTGTCCGAACAGAATTTTTATATTCCTTATTGTTCATTTTTTATGAGCATTTTAGTAAAAACGTCTTAAAATTAGCATTAAAAATGGTAGTCCAATGATAGTAAAGGCCACTTTTCTCAGTCTAGGAACCAACTATAAAAAATCTCTTCGGACAAAAAGTTTACTGTCATTGAAACCTGTAAAACAAAAAAACAAAATAGTGGTTATAGCTCGAGAAATGAGGGAGGAGTTTCAAATTTTCTGATTGGAAACTATGTTCTGAGAAAAACGCTAAAGAAGTTTTAGAAGTGGATTTTTTCATTCAAATCCAGGACAAGTCATGTTACAATGGTATATTCCACTGGACAGTCTTAGAGGACGTCATAAATGACGGCAACTAACGTCATCTGACATGCTGATTAGTATATAAAAATGTTCTATTCAGTGATAATGCCAGTGGGAACGTAATTTTTATGAAACTGACAACCTTGAAAAGCCATGAAATTTTCTTCAAATACATGGTAGCAGATCTAAAGTTTCATGTGATAAGTCTTTGAAAATTTGATTATTTTCCAAAAAAACTATATATATTCTGAGAGAGGAAGCTTCGCCGCATCTTCCTGTAATAAAGACTCAACTTTGATATTTCCCCGAAAAACTCGATTTTCTGAGGAGGGCCCCCTTTAATTGAACCAGATTCATTTCTGTCTTCGGGTTCAAAATAGTCAAAAGATTATTTTGAGCCCCAAACGAGCGCTAATTGATCCACTTCGGGCTTCAAAAAAAATCTTTCTCCTATAGAAGTATCTAAGAAGAGATAATGAAAATCACTACCTGGAAAGAAATTGATGATTAAAAGTACTTTTTCTCAAGAGAAAAAAGAACAAGAAAAAAATTACCGTTAATCTATAAACTATTTAGTTTAACATTTATTATTTGAGGAATTATTTGATATGAATTAACAAAGAAAAAAACAATTTCTCTTAATAATAGAATGATTTTTGTCACGAGTAATTAATGACCTACTAACACAAATTTGAATTCTATCCATATGTATGAATTACCTAAAAAAGATTCTTAAATAGGTGGAATATATTGCAAGAAGAGTACAAACCTTTAAGATTGATTTGAACACTCATTTGATAAATGATCGGTTGAACAAGAAGAGTGCATAGTACATTATCTAATTGTTGGAAACATATAGCTATGTAAAACATTATTTATATGATTCTGAAAAGAGAAACGATTATTTTTTTTCCGTTATATTTATTTTAATGATATTTATCTGAACTACAATATGTTGACAATTAAAAATAATATGTATAAAATCTACTTTCAATGTGTACATTGATCTGCTATATCATATTAAAAACAATCGGATTCGAATGAATTATGCTATGAATTTTTACTCGGACATACTTAAAAAGATACTTCAATCTCTTGACAGGTCTTCATACTATTAAAATAAAATCATATGAGATTCATGCGAACACCGGAGAAGTATATCCGAGTTAAAAGAACTTTCATCTTATATAAAATTCATTTCTATATATAGATATATATATATATATATATCGTAATTCAAGAGAAAGAAACTGTTGAAAATAGCTGTAAGATTGCCGGAAATGCAAACTTAAAGCAGAAGTTTTTTTTTCTTTTCTTGATATATGATTAGATAGAGCATGACGAACTGACAAAGAATATGTATGTTTTTCATTTTTTAGAATGGTATTTTAGGAGAAAACTTTCTGTTCTTTCAGATGAGATGTTTTTTTCTTAAAAAACAGGTCAATTTTCGATAACCGACAAATTTTCAATTTTTTCATTTCCTTTTAATCCTAAAGCTGAATCTGGGAAATTCATTTAAATGAATTTTCTAAATTCAGTTTTAGGATTAAAAGGAAATGAAAAAATTGAAAATTTGTCGATTATCGAAAATTGACCTGGTTTTTTTTTTAGAAAAAGTAGCTCATCTAAAAGAACTGAAAGTTTTCTCTTAAAATACCATTTCTAAAAAATGAAAAACATACATATTCTTTGTCAGCTCGTCATGTTCTATCTAACCATAGATAAAGAAAAGAAAAAAATTACTTCTTCTTTAAGTTTGCATTTCTGGTACCTTACGCATAATTATCATTGAACAAGAAAAGATTTAAAATATTCTTAATGTTTTCTTAAATATACTTACACATATGTTACAGGCAAAATTGAATTTGATATAAAAATAAACTTAAAAAGATTGCGTTTTTATTTAGGTACAAAAGTACAAAATTATTTTCTTTTATTTAAAAATAAATTCTAATTTTCATTTAAGAGAACGTAGCACATATTTGTTGTTTTCCAGTAGACAGAGCATTCATTTTTACTGATTCATATTCTAATATATGCATAAATGACTTTTTCTCCGTCAACATAAGAAAATCATGTTCGAAAAATATTTCTATGAACAAGCAAATCAACATATTCATTTTTTTTTTTTGAGTATCACATTCCGAGAGAAGACATTTATTATTCTACCACAGCAAAATACATAAACTAAAAAAGTCCTCGATTGTTTTTCATTGGAACATAACTCAACAAAACTTAATAATATCATATATTTATACTTTAAATATCATCTATGAGTCAAATCAAACTCGAGCACAAATAAGCATCGATAAAAATACTACTCGAATCAATATAAGCTTGAAGCTTCTTTCTGATTTTTTTTTTGGTCGGAGCTTCCTAAGACGAAATAGATTTCAATCAAATATATTGGTAAACTCTACAGCATCTTAGATTTAATTACAGTCAAACATAATTTAATATTAATATATATATATAAGATCAGTTCTTTATTTTTATCTCTTTCAATATTCTTTTTGAATCGTTTAGACCCGTTCCTCTCTCGTCAGAAATCTCGATTTGCATCTAAAAGTTCGATCTTGACATTTTGATGCAATTGGATCAACCACAAAGTCTAATACGACATACTAAATTGATTATACTTTTTAACGCGTTGTTTTTTATACCGTTTTGTTAAGAAAGAAGCTTGAGTTTATAGATCAAACTTCGTTTGGCGTTTTTCCCAAAGTAGATTTTTCTATTTTTTTTTTGTTCTTGTATCAAAGATTTCTCGGCTGTTATACAAGCTAGAAAGCTCGGTATTGAAACCCTTAAGTTCTAGTAGTAGGTCTTGGCTGCATATTAAAACTAACTCAAAATCTATGTCATCAGATTTCGAGAAGAAATCGTTGTCATGCGGAGACGTATTTTTTTTTTGGTCCTTGATATTATAATAGCTCGATATTTTGTGCCAAAATTTCTAAAAGTTTTCATCCACATAGGTTGTTCTGAGAGAAACATAGATTTCTGACAGGTGGGATAGGTCTTGAAAATTGTCTAATCCCTATGTTACTTAATTCTAATGCAAATATACAATGAATAAATTCATTTGATATATAGTTCAACAAAAGCATTTTTATTTCCGACTAAGAACGATCGAACTATTTATACATATGACGTTAAAGTAGGTATACAATAATGAAAAATCCTTCACAAGAACCAAAAAAAGAAAAAGGATTTTTATATCTTAATGTAATTTTGAATCAATCATCAATGTTTTAGATACTCTCTTATAGGTTCATGTTGTTCAAGACAAATAGAAAAATAGTACAAAAAAGAAAAACAAAAAGAAAAGACAGAAGACATTCACATAAAGAAAACAAAAGAGAAAAAAACCGTAACATACATGCACACAATGCCTATACATATAGAAGAACAAAGGTATAACATCTTTCATACATAAACAAAAGAATGAAAATATCAATTATAAAGTTCAAATAAACATGAACTAAGTGTAGTCGATGCTTCCGATGATTCAAGAGCTAAACTTGCAAGATGTTGTTCATATTGACGAAGATTTCTAAATGAAATTTAAAATTATTCATTGATTTCTATTTGTATCTTTTGTTTTATTCTTATTTAACATACTGTTTTCCAATGGATGAATGTCGAGCAATATTACGTAAAATAAGTGCAGCTGTAAGTCGAATACTTTTCGTCAATGGACCTTCTTTACCTTTGACCTATTGAATTTTATTAAATTATTAAATAAAATTTAAATTAAAATAATAAAAAAAAAAAACATACTATTAAATCATCGAAAGAATTCATTTGCATATGACGTCGAACAGCAAGCCATGCAGCATCAGGTGCATAACCAATTGTTCCTGTTGTCGATGAAACATTACTTGCAATAGTCGCCGATGATATTGTACCTATATTAGCAGTTGTTGATGAAATAGGATTTGTTGATTTTAGTTTAGCTTGTCGAAAGGCTATTTCAGAACAATGACGTTCCTAAATAAATATTAGAATTGAATAAATAATTAGTAGATCAATTAATTCATATGAAATATACTTGAATATGACTAATTAAAGCCCATTTTTGTCGTTTTATTCGATCACATCCATTCCATAAACAAATATAATCAGATGAATGTTTAACATGAGCTGAACATGCATGATGAAAAACAGCTCGTGCTGTAGAAAATGGTCTTATATTAAAAATAAAAAAAGAGAAAGAAAGATAAATAAATAAATATAATTTGATATTTTATACTTTCGACAATTATCCCATTCACAAATATAATCAGATGAATTTGTTTGAACAGATGGTGTAATTACATTTGATGTTGAAATTGTTGGTTTAATATCAGATATTTCTTGTTCAATTGTTTCTTCTTTTTTATTTATTGATATTGATACATTTGTAATATCTGTTGAAGATTTTTTTGTTGATGGTCGATTACGTTTTTTTTTTGGTGTTTGTTCTTCAATATGATTAATTATTTTTGTTGGTCGTTTATTTGATGATTGTTCTTCAATTTTACGTTTAAATACTGGTGATGGTATTGGATTATAAATAATTGATGTTGATGATAATGGTTCATCAATAGTTAAAGCAATACGATGACATAAATCATTTAAACATGAACGAATATCATTATCAAATATATTTGTTTGTGATAATGGAGAAGAACATCGATCAAGTAAATCAGCCATAGTTGAATGAATACTGTTACTTGTACTATTACTTTCCATACTACTTGTATCATCTTCAATAGATGATGATGGAATATGTCGAGATGATGGTAATGATGTTGATGCAATAATAACACCAGGTTTTGTTGGAGTAGAACGTGCACGAGATGGACGTGAACGTTTTGGTGGTGGTGGAGTTATTGATGATTGAGATGGAGATGATGTACCATTAACAACAGCAGCAATTGTTTCCGAAATAGCTAAAAAAAAATTATTTTAAAAATAAAAAAATGTTTCGTTTTTTATTCTCATGTAAGTGTTAGTTTCAAGCAAAAAAATTCTAATCTATGAGTTTGTGTTAAATATTATTCTTCGATTTATTTTGATCTATATAATCAATCAAGATTTGATTCGATAGTAACTAGCTTCCGTTGGATCCGATCGAATCGTATACTTGATACTATCAATGAAATTTTCTAATCGGAATTGAATAGTTGCTCCGAAAATACGAAATACTTCTTTCCGAGTGTTTGTATCCGGTGATTAATGTACTCTACACATTTCCCAGATGACTAGAGCCATTCGGATCTGAGTAAAATAAAAATAAGACATCAGAAACTATATGGAAGAATTATTAAGATGTTTAGAGTGAATATGTACGACTTTTGTCATAATTTATAAAAGAAAAATTTACAATCATGTTTTCGTTTTTTATCAATAATTTGATTCGATTGTACATTTGTATTTGTTATCATAATTGGTGTTGTTGTTGTTGATGGTGTTGCAACAGTTAAAAGATTTCCTGTTGAAATAACATTTGCAACAGTCATTGGTTTTGAATATTGTTGTATAATAAGTTTATTATTATTACTATAATAACTTTTATTGATTTCTGTATTTTCAATAGCATATGTTGGTTGTTGTGATTGTTGTTGTTGTTGAGTTGTTGAAATAACAACAACAGATTGTGATATATTTGATGTTTGTTGTGTTATTGGTGGTTGATGATAAGATGGTAAAAGTACAGGACCTGATGACATTTCAACAATTTTAATTGTTTTTATTGTTTGAGATGAAAAACTTCGTGCTTCAATTGTTAATAAATCAATTAATGTTGTTATTATTGATGCTGATGATTGCACTTTAAATATAGCATTGCACAATTGTTCACCTAAAAATATATTTTTAATGTTCAATGAATTCTTTTTTTTTTTTTGTTTTTTTACAATAAACAGTCGTAGTGCAACCTTGAACTATGGTTTTAGGTCTCAAACCATTGAAGTTCGGATTAGAGTGACCGGTTTTTTTGTAGTGAAAAATAAAAAATAGACCGTGAAATAGAGATTGATAGATATATGCTTTTATTCTTTCGTTCTGTTTCTTCTCGCTGAAATATTTCATTATGATAAATTAAACGTGACAAAATATATGTTTGTATTCCTTTTTTCCATTTCTCCTGAATAAATGGGAAAAATTTCCACATCGATTAGTACAATCATCCACTGCTAATTAGGAGTTGCTTGAATTCGGGATCGAAATATATCAGACCTAATGAATTCTACTCTAAGTTTCAAAATTATTCAATTGATTCGAATATTTATGGATATTTCGGTAAGTGTCGAAATACTTGTAAAGGTATATGAGATACTATTCAAGTATTCGAATGTGAGCATTTCTGAAATACTGCGTATATTTTCCAGTCTGTCTAGATCATATATAACTTATGTGATAATTTATTTTTTCAACTTATCTTTACTTAGAGATGCAATAGTGAATACATGATAAAACTATGATGATCTCGGATTGATTTCGATTTTTTCAATCGGAGCAACTATTTCAAGAAAATAGTTGAATTTTATACAACTAGACTAAAGATTTTCGGAATCTACGAATTCAAATCTATATGAAATTTTCGTTCAACAAAGATTTAATTCTCATAATTTAGTCATGTTGCATAAAATTCAGCTATTTTCTAGAAGTAGATCTATTCCGACGAAAAGTCCAAATGAATCTAAGACTATCATAGTTTTATTATATGTTCACTGTTATTTTAGACCAGTGATAACTGTCACTTTTACATCCCTATATTTACTCTCTTATACAAATATCATTTGAAAATGATGGAATTTGAACATTCAGGTTTAGTATATATATATATCTATGAATAAAACTAACCTAATTCTGATAATTGATATAAACATTCTAATGTATGTACTAATACAAGTATATCCGATACATGAATAAGTCTTTGAATAATAATATCCAGAAAATCAATTAAATAAATTCCATTATCATTTCCAGCCTGTGATAAATTAGCAATAATTTCAAGTGCACGAATAATTTTTAAACGATCTTGTTGTCCATTATTTTCATTACCATTTAACATATTATTTAATAATTGTCGAATAAAATATCCTTCATCATTACTAATTAAACGTAAATGCATATATAATGCTAAATTTGACCATATATCATATGCATATTTTTGTAATTCAATTTTTTTTTCACAATATGATATTAATAATAAAAATATATAAGTTATTGATGTTGATGAACGTATTGTATCAAGTAAATAAATAGCATTTGTACGATCAAATGAAAGATTACGTATTATCATTAAAATTTGTTCAATACGAAGTTCTTGTTGTTGTTGATTATCATTTGAATTAAGATTAAAATTATTATATAAATATTTATGATTATTATTAATATCAATATTTAATAATTGTTTAATAATTTCTGATGAACATGAATCAATCCAAAATTGTTCCATATGATAATTTAAATGTTTTGACCAAATATTATCATATAAAATTTTTAAACAATGATCATTATTTGTTGTATCATTCGATAAAAATAATCCAATATGACGAAAAAGTATATCTAATAAACGTGGACATTTATATAAATGAAATGATATTTGATTATTTGTTGTTGATGATAATAATAATAATGTATTTAATGTAAATGTTAATTCATTTGGAAAACCACATATTAATGCTAATTCTAATTTTTCATATTCATTTCGACGAACAAAATCACGAAAAAGACCATATTGAGCACGTAATGAATCTAGTAAAATGAATAAGATTTTATTTTACAGTAGAATATTTTTGAAAATTTATTTACCCGAAACAGTATGTTGGGCATGATTATATGACTGTGGTACACGTTGTAATTGAGAAACATTACGTCGTTTTGAATCTTCATCATCATCATCATGTGAATCAATATTTTCACCATTACTTATTTTTTCAAATGCATATAAATATCTATTCAAAAAAGAAAATGAAATATTTAACAATAGATTATAACAATTTTTTTTTGTCAGACTTTTAACTTTATCTTTTGACTCTTAGTGGATCTCAATATGTCTAAGAAAGTATATATGACTAAATGTTAAGCCCTGAATTCTTCATAATTTGAAGTAGTACTCCTTTGTAAGAAGTGAAGAAGAACTGTACGAGAAACTCGAGTTAGATAAACTAAAAGTTGCGGAAAGTTTTCTTCGCCTTTATTGTCTAAGCTTACATATGTAAGAAATATTATTAGGTCAACTGTTATGTGTTATTATTGGAGCCTGAAAGTACAATGATCTTACCTTGGAATTGACTAAATAATAATGTTGTTGATGATGATGATGAAGTAATGGAATAAGAAATGTAATATGAGGGAAGGGGAAATTTAGTATGATGATGATAACACTAATAATAATAATAGAAGATGAATCGGAGATAATACAATACAAACTTCCACTAGATAGGAGAAAGTTCAACTGAACTATATCAAAATCTGAGAAAATCCGAAAGAGAAAAAAATCAACTACCAGAAAAACGAAAGAGAAGATACCAACAAATGAGAGAATAACAAGAAAAAACCAATTGAACAAAGTTCAATTAAGTTAGCGTCAACATAGTGTCATCTTTTGACGCTAACAAATATTTTTATTAGAGTGAACAAATCCATAATGTAATTCCTTGTCGAAATTTAATAAAAAACAAACGATAGCGTGTTTCTTAAATGCACGTCTCTTGATACATGTTGTGATTTTTTTCTGAATCATACCATCTCTACTCAACTTCTCAGTTAAGATCTTATTGTTGAACCTATCCTAAATTTAAAACCATTCAAAAAACTTTTAAATATCTTTTATCCTCAAAAATCAAGAGGCACTAGTGAACTGAAATTAAAAAAAGAAAGAAGAACGATGCACAAATAAACTATTTTAAAACGATATGTTACATAGATGATGAAGAATTTCATAACTCAATGTGATTAGTTTAGTTCAAACGATATTACAACAAAAAATGCACAAGAAGATTGAAGGGTAAACAATTTTCATAACTTTTCAATTGTCTATCCTTCAGAAAAAAAAAAGAATCTTGAATACGCATTACGAATATCATCATTAACATTTACTTCGATAATGAAAAAGTGTTTTTTTTTTCAATTAAAAAAATTACAACTTAGCGAAATATACTTAACATACATAATATTATAAATATTCATTAGGAATCTTACCGAATATAAATATTTTTTAAAGCTTGTGTACCATTAAGACATGATGAATCAATACCAAAATTATTTGCAACAGTTGACCATAATTGTCGATCATTTACTTTATCCCAACCACCATGACCAACAACTGTTGTGTATAGTGCTTGTAAATCAACAACTTGTCCAGCAATTGTTGGTAAACAACGAAATGTTGTTCTAAAAAGTAGACATATAAATAAGTTTTATTTTTGTTTTTTTTTTTTTTATTAAAATAATACATACTGACGACATCGATGAAATTCTCGAAGACGTTTGAGAAATTCTTCATAAGAAGATAATGGTGCGGAAGGAGGAGGAGCTTGTAATGAATTATTATTATTTATAAAATCAGTATTTGTTGAATAAAAATTTGTATTTGTTACATTTGAAGGTTGAGTTGATGAATGAATAAGAAAAACAGATGATGATGATGACGATGATGATTGTATATTATTTGTTGTTGTTTTACATAAAATTGGACGTGGTTGAATCGGTGGTAACGTTGTCATGATTCTTGTTGACTCCAACTTTAAAAGTGTGAGACAAGAACACAACACAATTAAATGAAATAAACTTGATTTGACGTTTGTTCAATGTGAGAATGGCGATCAATATTAACCAATGAAAACTTAGACATGAAAAACCTTATTGATGCTTTCTTTTTTTTTTTGTATTTTAAAATATGAAATTCTTTATTTTAAAATGATTTTCTATTCATATAGATAACTGTAGAATTTGATAGCTATAGAAAATAGATAAAATCAATAGGTGGCAGCACTATTTAATAATCTTGATAAAATTTAGATTTAATTGTATCGAACTTAAATCTTTATTTTAACCAATTTTTAAAACTGTCCAATAACTTTGATTACGCAATCTATATTTCAATACTAAATTGGAATAGTTGAAGCAATGTTTCTAATAACAGGTGTACGAAGTAAAAGGTTAATGTATACAATACACTTGGCTGGAAAAATAACATTTATTCAATTGTTTTCGTAGAAAATATAACTTTTTTCTTTTATCCTTAAGTCTCTCTTTTATTATATGAGGAGGAGAAAAAAGGACACAAATGTATTTTTCACTTACCATCTGTTTTTCATCATCGATAGATATTTTCGTCAAATGAAAAAAATGATTTGATTTTCCTTTTGTTTTTTTTTTATACATTCTTTATAAAACCTCATCATTGTACATTTTGATACGCTGTACTTACGAAAGAACGATGTAAACATACATTTAACTAGTTTTGGATCATCATTAGAAATGCCGAAGTGATGTAAAATATAGTTCTAGAACCACTGTACAATAATTAGTGGCAGGACAATAATTGAAAATTTGTCTTTAGGAGATGACTGTGTCAATAGCAAACATTTATGATAATATTAGTCTATATCCTTATGTTTTCATTAAGACATGGCACACTAAAGAAATAAAGGATATGCTCTCAAGAGACACATTGTTGCACATAATATTATTTTCGTTGTCATAATTTATATCATCCACATGTTAAACGATACGATCCGTATGTGACCGTGTACATGTCGTGCTGAGCTGCAAATTTCAGTATAGGACAAAGTTGCGATGAAAATACAGATAAACATATTAATCTATATGGAATGATTAATATGTATTGATTTTCTACAATAAATACGATTTCTCTAGAACTATCTGCTTACAATTATATGGTTCGATGTTTTCTTATATTAAAAATAGATTTAATTGTTAACAAAAATAAATCATAAAATATAGTTGTTAAAACAATATTAAAATTTAATTTGACAATTTTAATTTTAATAATTATCTACAAAAGAAAAATATTTATCTTTAAATTACGAAATAACGAGATATAAACTCTATTGTCTTGTAGCGTCCTCTTTAATAACATGGAAAACTTTATTTTTTTTAAATTTTTCGATATATTTTCAAATCTTTCTTATATCTAAAATTAAATTTTATTAATTTTATTCTATAAAAAGTTTTTCATCATTTCTAATCGGTTCTCTCTAATAAGCCATTCACATTTGAGATTGATCCCAAAATTGTTCAGTGAATTCTTATTTCATTAATTTTCATAGTAAAAAAAGAAGATGGATACAATTAATTTTTATCCATCCGATACTACAATCAGTGGTCTTCTATTCAGTAATTATACATCTGAAGAAATTCGTCGTTTAAGTGTAAAAGAATTAACATCATCGTCAGCAATTGATCGTCTCGGTGCACCAGTGCCTGGTGGTCCATATGATTTAGCATTAGGACCTTTTGATAAAAATGATCGTTGTTTTACTTGTGGTCAAGGATTTGTTTCTTGTCCAGGTCATCTTGGACATATATCTCTTGTTCTACCTGTTTATAATCCAGTATTCTTTCGAAATCTTGTTAATGTAAATGAAAATAAATCAATTTTGCTTTAATATATACAGTTTTTTGGTAATTTTCAAGGTTCTTCGTGGTTGTTGTCTTCATTGTCATACAATTCAATGTTCAAACGCAGAAAAATATTTATTTTGTATGCAAATGCTTTATTTAAAACATGGTCAAACAAATGAAATAGATAATTTACAATCGATTTATAAAACATGGATATTAGAAAGAAAATCTTTAGATACATTTTATGAACATATCAATGAACATATGAAATTAAATCCACCATCATCAACTAAAATAGAAGCAACAACAAAAAATTTATTAGCCATTCGACAACAACTTATAAAAGATTTTGAAGCACGAGCATTTAAAACAAAAAGTTTATATTTTGTTTTTTCGATCATAGAAAAATTTCGAATAAAATTTTTATTTTTTATTTTTTTTAGAAAAATTTTGTCCCAATTGTAATACACCTGTACGTTCACTTCGTGCAGATTCACATTCAAAACTTTTTTATTCTCAAGGAATTTCAAATAAACAAATAAAAGCTTATCAAGAACGTATGTCTAATGTTCGGTAAGTATTTAATGAATTATTTCTCAACAATAGCCTAATTCGAATAATCGTCCTTTGAATAATCATACGAATCAATCTATTGAGTGTACTCAACAACCTATTAGTTCTAATAAAGAATACCGAGATACATGTCCAAATAACCAAATGTTGGAAGAAGTCAGGATACCTTAATTATGTCTTCACTAATTTTCTTTTTGCATATGTGCTCTTCGCCATTGAGTAATATAACCGAGTCGAACTAGTACTAGTTTTACTTATTTAGGCTGAACTGGCATGGACAGACTTTCTCTAGTGAGAATATATATTATTGCATTTTTCTACACAAGCGATGATTTGACAGCATAGGTCTTCCTTCCCGGCATTATAACCGTTTTTATGAAACTTCGTTCTGTACCAAGGTGTTTAGCAAACAATCGAATCAACGCATTTCAGACAAAACGGAACAATCATTCTGTCTGAAACTTTTAGGATACGTGAAAGATCATGTAATCTTTTTATAGATAAATTTCAGGCTGAAATTCCTTAATTCGATTGTTTGTTGTAGGACGAAATTTCAGGAAAATGGTTATGATGCTGTGGGAAGGCTTATGGAGGCGAATCTTTTCGAACTCTCGTAGTCCCACTTACTGGTAAAACATGAGCTCTAAAGTTTTTAAGGCCTCCCTTCGCCCTCAAAAATCGATTTTCCCATCAAGACAAGTCAAGCAGGCTGAAATTTTCAGGTCATAATGGGGCTATAGTGGAGAGGCTTTAGTAAAAATTTTCAGCTCGATATCATGATGTTTGACAGAGATATGAACCAAACAAGAGTCGAAAAATAGCTCATTTCCTGTCCAATGTTTCTTAGTCTAGGCTCGTGCTACATGTTTAAATCTTTTTTTTGTTAGAAAGAGCATGTCAATATGCAGGGCATCACAGAACCCTTTTTTTAAATTCTTACTTTTTTTAGCGAAGAAAGGAAATCACAAGTTCAATGACTCAAAAAAATGGGTGTCTAGTTACATAAATGTCTGTATATATAATAAAAATAAAGCTTAATTAAAAAAAAAGGATTCTGGAGTGTCCTGCATCTTGACATGCTCTTTCAAACAAAAAAAATTTTTTAACTGTTGAAAGAGTCTGAACCGAGAAATTTTGGACAGAAGATGAAAAAATTATAAATCGAGAAAAAACGAAAACGATTTTTTGGTTTTTCGAAAAGAGGTTCTCAGGAATCTTGAAAATTTTGGGGAAAAAGTGAGATATCGAAGAAAAACTTTTATCGTTTATGAAAAAGCAAATGATGGACTATCTTTCCATGCATTTACGTCAATATCGAAAATTGACATTTTTTGAGAGGAGGAAGGCCTCAATCAGTTTGTGCGGATCTCCTCATTAGTTTCGATTGCAGATCCGATAAAATCGAAGAAGTTTAACTGATTTCTAGTGAAGTTACCATAAAATCTTCACTGAGATCTAAATGAACGATAGCCTATTGAAATCTACATAAGCGCAATACTAAATATGAATGCGACAAAAAATTCTTATTCGAATTGATAAATCCTTTTTGTCCTTTGATTATAGACAACAAAAAAATATGAATAACAATGATGAATCAAAAGATAATGATGATGAAGAAGAAATGTTAACAAAAATGATGTCTAGTCAAATGTATTTAACACCATTAGATGTATTAAAACATTTCGAAAAAATTTGGACAAATGAAAAAGAAGTACTTGCAATTTATTTAGCTACTTTACGATCACCACATCATTCAATAACACATATTCATAATAATCCAATAAGTTTATTCTTTTTTGAAGTTTTACCTGTTTTACCTTCAAAATTTCGTCCCGTATGTATTTAATTATATTTAAAAAAAAAAAGAAAGAAAGATTTAAATTAGAAAATTTATTTTTTTTGATTAAGGTTTTATCATTTAATGATCAAAAATTTGAAAATCCAAAAACAGTTCGATATTCAACAATTATTCAAGATAATCAATATATGAAAGAACTTTTATTATTAAAAGATAAACAAACTACAGACATACCAACATCAACTACTGTAAGATATTTTTATTAAATTAGTCTTTAGATTTTATTATTTTTTATAAAACACGATCTAAAAGAAATATGACCGTAGAAATTTCGACTCCTCTTCCTTTCGCACAAACATGACAGATATAATCATGAGATTAGTATTATAATTGTTCTTGACTTTTCTTTCACACTCACTGCGATCCATATCTTCCATCATTGATATGCATTAACACTAGGTAGAAATTTATAAACCGAAATATATATATATATTGATTAATCGTCTCTTTTACAATATCAGCAGTTCCATCGTGTTTCATATTTTAATTCTGTATTGATTGCATTAATAGCTTTTTGTTTTTGTCTTTGTATATTCAGAATCGATCATCTTTAACTAATACTTTACGTGGTGGAACAAATGAAGAAAAACTTAATAATCTTTGGCTTAAAATGCAAATTACTGTTAATTCTATATTTGATAGTTCATTAGATAATCGAAGTGGTGCTCGAGTAGCCAAAGGTATTCGACAAGTATGTCATTAGGT